ACTACTACTATCTGTAAAGTGTGTTGTTTGTTGAGCATTTGGGAGTAGAAGGGAATACTTCAAGGGATAAAAGCTGTCACCTTTCACTGCAGTTGTGTATGACCTGTAGTATCTTAGGCACTAAATCTTACACATTCTAGTTACACACCAACATTCACTTGTCCTCCTACAACAAATCAAACTGATAACTTGTACCTCAACATAAATACTGACCTGCCTGCCAGCCACTGCAAACAGCATAATATGAAATGGAAAATGTTTTTTCAAGAATGTAATCCACTGCAGCCATAGGCATCTTTAGCAGTCAAGACGCACACATACAATTCTACTTTAAAAGAATAAGAATTGTATGTGCCCTGAGCGGAGATGAAGGAACCTGCTTCCTGCTGTATTACTTTAACACCATGCAGCAAAATAACAAAGAAAAGTTTTAGCACAATGCTATCCACTTGGTACTTTCTTCACTTTAGTCAGAAACATCTACCATACACTATTTTCCCTGCCTCACATAAACCAAGAGTTAATCATGGTTATTTAGTATATGGGATTGCATTTGGTCAATACTTTAATCTTGGTCTATCATGTCAATTACATTTTGATCCTGTTTCACATACTAAATGGAACTTACAGCAACATCCAGACTTAAACATTAGTAAAAAGAAGTTTCTGTGGTGCACTTGGCTGGATAATTTGATTTCTATTTTGAATCAATTAGTGGGGGATGGAACTGAGTTTTCTGATTTGTGTGCAAAGTACAGTTTGCCTGCTGTAGTAATTCTTACAACTGCAACATTTGTTGAAATCTAGTCTTAGCCCTGCAGCTTTTGCAGGGCCACAATCTTCTCCTCTATAGGAGAACACTTCCTGAAGCTGATCAATTGTATCAACCTATATTCCATACTTATTTACTATCAGTGAATTATTATGCTACATGGGGTCTTAAGCTAAAATGGAATAGGGAATTAGGATGTCCAAGCAATGCATTGTCACTTTAGCATCTATATCTGGCATTTCAATGGATCCCCATGTTATGTCTTATTCTACGAAAACTTTTATTTCGTATTTATGGATGCCATAATGACTCTTTAATAAGGATTTATTTAAGTTGGCAAACTGTCAGAGGTGCAACACAGTGCTTCCTTTACCACTTTTTTAGAGGAAGTTATAATTCAGACAAACTTTGTACTGAAACACTCTTTATTATTGTCTTATGTGTACATCCTTTTAAATTATCTACCAGTTTCTTGAAAGGTAAAGCCAACTCAAATGCATTTTTGTGCCTTTTTGACAGCTAAAAGACTGCTGGTGCAACTCAGGGAAAATGAAAGCTCACCTTCCATAATGCAATGGATCTGAGACCTAGCAACACATACATGCGTAGGTCATCCACACTGAGTGGATGACATACACCTGCTGTTCTCAAATGGACTCCTATGCAGATATTTGGTCTGCCTTTGTCGAAGCTTGTATAAAATTGATTCACTGAAAATTTTCCCTATGATCATGCCTCCAAGGAACCTTACCACATAGGTTTACACAGTGACACTGAGTATGTCAGATCTTTTCAAGCCACTTCTTAAACTCAAAGGAACTAATTTACTTCATTTTACTTAAAGTGAGATTTTAGACTCAGGATACAGCAACAGTGTTTTGAAACCATAACTTTCTTCTATGCCATCTTTGCACTCTGTTTTTATTACTTTCTATCATCAAGAAATTGATCTTGTAAAAGGGGTGGTGTGCTACTTAATCTTAAGAAACCAACTAAAATACAGAAAGCAATTAAAGGCACTTTTAATGTAGTGATCTTCATCACTGCATCAGGAAGAAAAACACTCTAATGTCACATTTGATAGAACAGGAATTTGGCATTGCTCCTGAAGTGCTAATCAACTTAAAAGTTCATAAACACATTTCTGTATATTTTAAGTTGCATTATCTATATACCACCTGGAAAACACTGTCTCACAAATCTGTCAGTTCATATTTCCTAGCGTAATGTTTGAAGCAAGCTCCTGATAGTTGACTTAATTCTTTGACTATAATTAAAATATTTTAGGTTTAAAGTTTCAATTTCTTAAATAAAGTTGTAGTAGTAAAGAACATTTTCATTTTTTCTTCCTTCCCATAATTGAAAATTCTCTAATTAACTGACCTACTACACAGAATAATCAATAATTTCCATTTACACATGACAATTACTGAAATCAAGAAATGTTTGTGTCCTTAGATGGCCGCTTTAGTCCTGCAAGCGGTCTTAAATTTCATTAAAATACATTTCTGTTCTGATCAACAGCAAGTTTCATCTCTGCATCCACGATGTTTTGAACGACAATCTAACTTTTGCCACTTCAAATTGGCAAAGAGCACTAAATCCATGCCCTCAGGCAAACTAGAATTTTCTCTAGATAAATCAGCAGGAACAGCTACACAAATACATTGTTAAGTTCAGTTGCTACACTTGTAAGCACCCAAACAACCATGTCAGTATCAACAAACTACTGGGACATATACAGGCTAACAAAGCAGAAAGTATTCAGCAACAGCAGTGCTAAATCAGATATTACTTCTAAAGCGGTATCTAATCAATCAATCAAGACAACTTTATATAGCTTTTAAAACAGCAGTAAAACACTGCAATATGGTTAATTATTTTGTTAAGTATCTATAAGAAAGGAAAGCATTCCCTAAAAATGGGAAATCCTTTTGGACTAAATTGCTGAACTGTTAATCTACTACACTAAGAATGAGAGTTAAGATTCAACCTTTGTAAAACTGAACAGAACAAATTATGCATTTCCCTTGCTTTGGCAGGTGCAACAGTCAACACAGTAAAGCAAAGTTTATACCCAGTCACTAATTGCCTTCAGCTCAGACAGATTATGCCCAAAGGAAATGGTTCTCAAAGTGACAGTGATTCTGACTCCTACTTATGACATAGCATGTGAAAGTCTGAAATATCCTTTATACCAACACTTATGGTGCTCTCCCTTTCACATTTGGCCCCACACACCCTCTTCAAGTACTAAAACATGAAAGAATTCTATATTTGGAGTCACAGAAGAGTTCTGTTTGTTGACAACAGTGTAACCTAATGGACATATGAAGGCAGAACTGCTGCTGCAGCTTTTGCAAGAGCCACATACATTTTAGTTCGGACTTTTAAGACATGGTATCAAATTACTCCCACATAGGAGAATTCAGGAAGTGTCCCATCAATACAAAGCCACTCCACTGAAAGGCAGTTCACCCTAACCCAGGGGATCCATTCACTTTCCACACAGAGAGGGGCTGATGAAAAGCTGTCAAAGTAAATCTATGCTCACTTTTTGGATGGTTTAACATCAATGGAGCATGCAAACTCCCCAGGATGGCTCATAAACTCAGCCAAGCATACGATTCTCCCTAATATATTTTAATTATGCATCTACTCTAATTGTAATCAGATTAAGTTACCGGAAAAAGGCACAAATTGGAATTTCCTCTAATTGCTAATAAAGCTTTTCAGCAATTTTCTAAACCCTGGTCTGTTTAAGGAAAGGTAGGGACACTAACACAACTGTGACATTTTCTAGAGTGCAGTTTCTTTAGCAGTACAGTGCAGCTCTCATTAGCTGCCCAAACTCAGATGAGATGCATTCACACCCCTGGGGCTTCATATTTACTAATCAACATAAAGGAAAGTTAAATATACAGACCAAGGAGCACAACAGAAAAGCTGCTTGATTTAGTGCGTGCACTCAGACACACATTCAAAGATAGGCACTCTCCAATTTTCAAGTACATACTGCCCCTGTATGTAAAGTTAAAGCAAAGGTTTCCCATTCCAGAGTTAAAGTTGAGTCAAGTCTCAATGAAGTAGGTTTTCTGAACTCAGAGGTCCTCCCATAAGAATTCTAAACAAGAGCATGTGCAAAGTGCCCTTCTCTAACTATGAGTAACCAGAACAGACTGGAATGTCAGTAGGTGAGGGCTTCCAAGTCAGGAAGTTCAGTTTCAGACAGGCTTCCTCCTTGACATTTTCCTCTTCAGTAAAGGCATCCCCATTCCCTTTAGACACTAACTACACCTTCTCCGTGAGAGTTCAAGGGAAGTGTCAAACGCTCCGGAAACAAGAGTGTCAAGAGAAACATGTGCAAGCTTTCCGGGAAAGCGATCTATTGTGCCCGGATGGGAGGGGAAACCTTTTTCCATCCCAAACCAGGCGGAACATCATTTCATCTACTGCTTATTATTAGGCGGTAGCTTGGAAAGAAAGAAAAGGAGAACATAACTCGAAAAAAGAAAAACCACAGGGGGAGGGAAGGCGGAAGAACACACCCGTTTATGGAATGGTGCTTCACAGGACAGAGATTTACCTTCCTCAAAACACATGCAAGTGCCATCACAACAACAAAACTGATGGTCGGGGAGAGAGATGGGGAGGGGGGGGGAAGGGGGGCTTGCGAGGAGGTTCGGCTGCGCGCTGTGCTCCGTGCCCGAATCCGCGCAAACTAATTTGACAGCCGGTGTGTCCCTCTCCAGTGTTCGCCAAGTCCTCTCCAGTGCCGGAGCGGCGAGAAATAGAGAGTAAAGGTGAGAGATCGAATGCAGCGAGCGCGGCGATAGGAAGCGGAGGAGGAAATAATCGGATTCACGCTTCCTCCGCAGGTGCGAGAGGGGAAAGCGGGGATTAGGGAGGTGAGGAGGAGGAACAGCTGCACGAGGAGCGTGCTGGCCGGAGCGGAGCGGAGCGATGCGGTGGCCGCGGCCACGTGAGGCCACGCAGGCTGCCTGCGGGCGCCACAACTTCGCTTCGGCCAGTTTGCGCGCACTCCCCCACCCCGCGCCGCCGCGAGGGCTGCCTTGAGCCGGAGGCCAGCGCACCGTCCGGCTGCCGGAGCGCCGCCTGCTTGCTTGCTTGCTTGCTTGCTTGCTTGCCTGCCTGCCTGCCTGCCTGCCTGCGCGCGTGCGTGCGTGCCTGGGCCGCCCGGCCAGCCCCAACTGCGACCTCCACCTACCTGTCATCGTAGCAGAAATCGGCGCCGAGCGTGTTGAGGTACAGGACGAGCCCCAGGGCACTGCTCACCAACTCCGCGATCATCGCTCCGCCGCCGCCGCCGCCCTCCTCTCCCCCCCGGCTCTCTTCTTCTGCCGCCGCCGCCGCCGCCCAGCCGCGCAAAGCATCCGCCGCGCGCCTTCCCTTCGCTCTTCTCCGCCTTGTTCCACTTTTGCACCCCCGGCCGCTGCCTCGCTCGCTCAGCGCCCGTAAGCGCCCGGCATCGCCGCCCGTTGCTGGCCACCCTACTTGCCGGCCAGCGGCCAGGCAGTCCTTCGGCGGGCGAGCGACAGGAGGAACCGGTAGCGCCAGCAGCTTTTTATTGTTCCGTCCGCTCGCTCGCTCGCTCCTTTTACCCCATGGCTGGGCGGGCTGGGCACTGCCGGAGCGCAGCAGCTGCCGCTCGCTCTCCCCTCGGACAGGCGCTCCGCCAGAGCGAGCGCGGCTACTCGCCGCTCCCGAGCTCGGGAGGCTGGCTCCGCGCTGCACAGCCGCGCTGCCCCGAGGCCCCTGCGCGGCTCAACTGGAAGCGCCGCTGCCGAGGCTCTGAGAGAGCCCGCGTGGGGCTCTCCAAGCTCCCACCGCGCTTGCGTGCCATCCCTCCCCCTGGGCCCGCCCCCCGCTCCTCCCTCTCCCCGGCTAACCCGCCCCGCTTCCCTCGCCCTGGGTTGGGCTCGGCTGCTCGCTCGCTCGCTCGCTTTCGCTTGCTGTCCTCCCCGCCCCAACCTTTTCTCTTCCTGCCTGTCTCGCACTGGCACCCTCTGCAACAAATAGGCTGCTGCTGGGAGAGGGGCTGGGCGCAGGCGGACGGAGGGAGGGAGGGAGGGAGGGCGCGCGGGCGGGCAGGCGGCCGAGTCGGCGAAAGCGCCGGGGCGGCCGGGGCTGCGGCTGGCACGGGTGGACCGGCCCTCCCCGCCGCTCCAAAGCAGATCAGGTGGGAACTCCGCGCCGCGCCGCGCCGCGCCGGAGAACGGTGGTGTCGAGCCCTCTGCGTGCGGGTTGCAAGCTGGCATGGCCTTCTGTGCGTGCCTGCCTCCGCGCCTGCCTGCCGTGCGGATCGCTAGGGCAGCCCGTGCCTTGCTGGGAGGCGTGGAAATGTCCCATAGGAGGATAAGCCGAGCATTCGGTTCTGCTTGTTCGGGAAAAAAAACTTGCAGACGCATCGAAAAGCAAACAAAAACCACTCGCTGAAAATAATTATGGCTTTTCAGTAAATATTAAAAACCCTTGCATGAACCCTAGCGAGTGTCCTGGAATGAAAAATATCTGAGTATATGAATAGGTGGTTTTCAGCTAGTGAAGATGAAAACAATTTTAGCAGTTACCCTATTTAGCAGTTATCCTATGAGGTTCCCTGGTCTTTGAATGTTAGCAGGTGTTGGAGTTATTTATTTATTGCCTCTCCAGTGGCATCTCATAACATAAAAGTTCTCTGGGCAGCTTACTATTAAGTAAACAAACAAAAAAAAAAAACAAAATCCAAAGGTACTCTGAATTTACTTGCAAAACAAAAGCCACCAGGGCCCAAGATTAAATACAGATTTTAATCGCTAATATTGAAAAGGGGATGAAAGAAGTCCCGGTGTGGGGAGAGTTCTTGCCCTCCCCCTTAGCCAGCCTTTCTCCCATTTCATGTCTGCCCCTTCAATGAAACTGTTCCTTCAAGAGGTGCGTAGCACAAGGGACACCGGCCTGCAAGAGCACTCCATGTCCAGCTGCCTGTACGAAATCCAGAAGCTTTTAACAAGTCTCTCCTCACTCTCCTTCCCCATTATTATTTAACACAATCCTCTCCAGACGCACCAGGCACTAAGCACGTTACAGGCCCTCTCCCAGCAGTGTTGAGAGTGCTTTGGTGAAGCCTGCCTTTGAATGTCACCAACCTCCCCTGCTGCTTTCAGTTAGTTCCAATGGCTTCAATGTGTCATCACCAACCGTGGTAATTTCAGAACAGGGGGTGATGCATTATGTGTGAAATATTAAATATTGAAAAAGTATTTCAACCCACAACGGATTGCACTGAGTCCTTGGGAGCTACTATATGTTAAATGTATCTGGTCTTCAGCCCACAAGGATGTTAATTTAGTCCAGCTTAATCTAGCTCCTGTTTTTTTTCCACTTTGATATGCACAGCTAAAAAAAGAGCAGACTTCTTTCCTGCACAAATCAGCTGTGGATTACTCACTCAATTTTTGCATATTTTTCCTTCATTTATTAATTTCAAACACATGCCATTGACTTTTCTACAGTGTGTTCAAGATGATGCTCAGCAAAAGGTAAAACTACAACAACCTAGAAGCACAGAAATGATTTACCGTTACCTAAAATGAAGCATATCTGTTACAGTCAGCCTAAAGTGGTCCTCAAACAGAACACCATACTGACTCCATCTTCTTGTTGTTCAGTCACAAAGTGGTGCCCAACATTTTGTGATCCCATGGACAACATTCCTCCAGGTTTTCTTGTCCTCTACCATCCCCCCAGAGTACACGCAAGCCCACACCCACCTCTCCAGTAACCCCAGTTGCCACCTCAATCTCTGCCATCCCTTCTCCTTTTGGCTCCAATCTTTCCCAGCATCAAGGTCTTTTCCAATGAGTCCTTCCTTCTCATTAGCAGGCCAAAGTATTTGAGCTTCAGCTTTAGTTAACTGACCTTCTAAAGAGCAGTCAGGGTTGATTTCTTTTAGAACTGACTGATATGATCTCTTTGCAGTCCAAGGAACTCTCAAGAGTCTTCTCCAACACCACTATTCAAAAGCATCAATTCTTCGGTGCTCAGCCTTCCATCTTACCTGGGCCCAAAAGACAGAAACCTCCCTTTTGCTACCAGATTCAGATTTCTGCTTAAGGAAAAGCCCAGGTCACCTGATGCTGGCATTTCAGTACAAAAGGCTGAGGTCATCTGTAGGCTAAGCACTGACACTAATTATAAACCATGAATTTCATAGCACAAATTGCCAAAGTACTGGAACAGTAGGAATAACCTAGAATCCATCTCAGAGGTGAGGATGAGCCATCACTGGACAGGCACAGATGGAGAACTGAGATCCTTCTGGAATCTTCACCCAGGCAAAGGGAGTGGGATGGACAAGAAGAGATAAACTCCATTGGAAATCTGTGGTCCTTTCTCTTCCTACACATGAGCAACTCTCCCAGGAAGCAGGGGAGCTTACAGCAAGCACAAGAAGGGATTGTGGCAAAGTTTTTCCAGTTCAGGTACCCAGGTATAACTTTTCCAAAAACAAAAGGGAAGAAGACTTGCCCAGCAGAACCTTACCATGGACAAACTGGGTTTTCAAGGAGCTTGCTAGGCCACACACACAGGGCTGGGCTAACTAGCCTGTATTGTTTATCCTTTGCCACTAATTTGCTTCTCTGTTGTATGTACAGAATCTGATCAAATTTTCTCTCATTCTGTACTTTTCCTTGAAATCCTAATCCTTTTACTGTTTTCACCCAGAAACGGACTGTGTGCTTTGCCCATGAACAACAGGTGGCCACTAGGGTCATGTTTCTGTGTCAAATTGGTGCTTTTCCAATGCCAGGTTGCTCACCACATGCTGAGTAAAACCTGTGATCTAGGTGTGCACAGACAGGCTGTGAAAGAGCCTCATTCAAGTAGTAGTGCTCAATTCAATGAGAGCCCTTGAGAACATGGGGAAATGGGTTGGTTTTATTTCCAGTTGTGGCATTGCTGCACCAGAGCTTGCAGCCTCCGATGGGGTTGCCTGCAGTTGCCAAGTTGCCACAAAAGCAACAAATTTTTAGCACTGAACCATTGTTTATGCCTAAATAATTCAGGTTTCCACTCTTTAGCCCATGCTTTACACTAGGACAGATAAGTTTCGGCTTTTTCCATCTGAGTAGGAACAACTATGCTAGTTCAACTCTTTGGAGTTGGTCATGGCCACTTCAACTGAACCATATACCTGATCTGCTCAGCTAGGAGTCAGAAACCAGAAATCAAGGTCTCGTGACTGGAGTGTGCTTCTTTTTCCCAATTGCACCAATGCTCTTCAGCTGTTTAAATTTATCACATAGAACTTACTGTTTCTTTTTAAAAGAATATATGAACATAAATCAGCAATTAAAGCTAGGAACATGCAGAAATCCACGTTCCTTCTTTTTCCTTTTCTTTTTTAAAGAAGTACAGTTGAAACCAGAGTCTACAGAATCTGAATTCATTAACCTTATGATTTAAATGAAAATTACAGGCTGCACTTTTCACCTTTTGCTAGAAAAGGATCACTTGCGATCTCACACTTGGTTATATGGTATATTCCTGAATTAGTGTCAAAGCAATTATTTGCTCATGATGCTCCAACATCATGCTAAAGAATGTAAGATATTTAGAAAAGAAGCAGCATTTATTATATATTCAGCAAAGAGTTCTCAAAATGGCTTACACAGTGAAATTGAGGAGACATTTAAAACATTCTAATCCTGTTTTACACTAAAGTTTTTACTATATTTATGTATACCCTCTTGAATGGAAAATTTGCTGGTTCCAATGGTGTCTTTGAAGTTTCCATAGAGGAGGTTGTTGCCTATGATATTCCAACAAGCCTGCAGAGATCATGGCAGAACAGCACCTCCAGCCTGGAAGTGTGGTGCAGAATACCACCCCCTGCACCATGCCTAGATAACACAAGATGCCCAGTCCCAGGCAACACAGTCCACTGTTCTTGACTGGGGTCATTCTCTAGAGGACTGAAGGAACATGGAGGCAAAGTTCACCTCTGCATTCCCCCCATGCTACAGAAGACTTAGACAACAATTTGATATTTGACAGGTTGACTGTGTTATTCTGGAATGTTATTCCTCCTCTTCCCTAAGGTTGGTGGTATGTAAGATATTTAGAAAAGAAGCAGCATATCAATATCGGTTTTTTAGCTTTCTTTCCCCTCAACATCAAAGAACAAAACAAAGAGCATTCTGAAGAATCTTGTTTCCAGTTGCCATTTTTTCCTACCAAGCTGGTTAGTAGCTACATTGATTGAAGAGCCATCTAATACAGAACATAAAGATGAGGAACTAAGTCCCTTCCTCACTTCCTTTTCTTCGCAAGCTCACATGCACTTATAGTATCTGAAATACCCAAGCCAATATGCTGCATATGTTGGTGGTAGGAGTAGGAGAATACATGAAGTGTGTAATAGACTTGTATGTAAGTTCCGGGAAAGTGTCTCCTTTCAGAAATGGCCTGTGATGCTGCTGCTCAGGACTAGAAAGCTTTCTCTAATCCTCTTGGACAAATTGAACAACCAACTGATGGTCTTTCCCTAGGCAGTATGGAGTTTATAGATCTATAGCTTACTGCTAATTAAATTTAGCATCTCTTCCAGAGAAACCATTTGCCAATTTACTTTAATATGTA